GATGTATTACCTCCTAGATTTCTTAAATCTGTTCTGAGCAGTCTTTTACCTTCACTCACGCATATAGTAAATATGTCTCTTGAATCTGGAACATTCCCAATGGCCCTGAAAACGGCAGTCATCAGACCCCTCCTAAAAAAGAGGAGTCTGGATGCCTTGGCACTTAAAAATTATCGGCCCATTTCAAATCTGCCTTTCATGGGTAAAATTCTAGAAAAAGTTGTCTATCAACAACTTACAGAATTTTTAATAATCAATCACTCTTTTGATATGTTCCAGTCTGGTTTTAGACCCCACCACAGCACAGAGACCGCTCTAGTGAAGGTAACAAATGACATCAGACTTAACACTGACGCAGGAAAAGTCTCAGTTCTTATCCTGTTAGATTTAAGTGCTGCTTTCGACACTGTCGATCATGGTATCCTCATTCAGAGACTTGAGGACTGGGTTGGTGTTTCTGGAACAGCCCTAAGCTGGTTTATATCCTACCTACAGGACAGAAAGTATTTTGTGGAGATCGGAAACTGTATCTCAGACCATCTGGCCCTAACCTGCGGAGTGCCACAGGGATCAATCCTGGGGCCTCTCCTGTTTAATATTTACATGCTGCCTCTGGGTAGGTTAATACACAGTAATAACGTGTCCTATCACAATTATGCTGACGATACTCAGGTCTATGTGTCCCTGACAGCAGGAGAACATGGACCAGTGGACTCGCTCCTTCACTGTATCCAACAAATCAGTGATTGGATGCAAAATAACTTTCTCCAGCTAAACACAGAAAAAACTGAAATTATTGTTTTCGGACCTCAAAAACAAAGAGAGAGCGTTATCTGCCACCTCCAGTCTCTCTCCCTAAAACCCTCAACTCAGGTCAGAAATCTAGGAGTAATAATGGACTCAGACTTAAATTTCAATAGCCACATATCATCTGTGACATCATCAGCTTACTTCCACCTAAGAAACATTGCTAAAATTAGGAACATTGTGTCTAAAGCAGACTTGGAGATTCTTATCCACGCATTTGTCTCCAGTCGATTGGACTACTGCAATGGCTTGTTCACAGGTCTCTCTAAACAAGCGGTAAAACAGCTGCAGTACATCCAAAATGCTGCAGCTCGAGTCCTGACTAGAACCAGGAAGTACGACCACATTAGTCCGGTCCTCAGGTCTCTGCACTGGCTTCCTGTGGCTCAGAGAATAGATTTTAAAGTAGCTTTACTTGTGTACAAGTCTCTCCATGGCCTTGCACCAGGGTACATCCGCGACATGTTGGTGCCATATGAACCAACTCGGGCTCTGAGGAGCACAGGGACTGGACTTCTGTTAGTGCCAAGAGTCGGAACTAGACATGGGGAGGCTGCGTTTCAGATTCATGCAGCTAGAGTCTGGAACCGTCTTCCCGAGAGTGTGAGACAGGCGTCTACTCTAGCAGTTTTTAAAACTGAACTGAAAACAGTTCTTTTTAGCTGTGCATACAAGTGAATGATTTTATATTTGTTTTTATCTTTAATCTTTTTAATGCACTATGATTATTTATGATTATTTATGATTGTAATCCCTTGTGTGATTTTAATGTTTTACGGTTTTTAACTACTTGTGTGATTTTATATATCTTGTGCTCTTAATCTGTCTTTTTATGTTTACTTAAATTCTAATGTTTGATGATTTATGCATGATGTTATATGGGTTGTGAGGCGCTTTGCGTTGCCTTGTGTAGGAAAGGCGCTCTATAAATAAACGTTGATTGATTGATTGATTGAGGATGGAGAGGCGGGTGGTTCTTGGGAGTTGGACGGGGAGGGGTTGAAGGTGGATGGGTTTTTGGTGATGGGTTAGGGGAGGGGCAGGCTGAGTTGGGTGGTGGACGAGGGGGGAGTGTAGTAGTAGTAGTAGTAATCTTTATTTATATACCGCCTTTTCACTGCAGATCTGAGTCTCAAAGCGGTTTACAATTGTTAATTTTGGGCATTTGTCTCTCACTCCACACAGAGATGGGAGCAGAGTCGCCAGTACAGGAGGCGCATGCCAGAACTATTGGACATATTTTTAGTGGTAGGGGAAACCGGAGTACCCGGAGGAAACCTACGCAGACACGGGGAGAACATGCAAACTCCACTCAGAAAGGCCCTGGTCCGACCGGGAATCGAACCCAGGACCTTCTTGCTGAGAGGCGAGAGTGCTATCCACACTCTAAAAAAAAATGCATTGGCAAAACTTAATAAAATTGAGGCAGCATTTTGCATGCATCTTTTTAAGTTTTGCGAACAAGACTGTGTTTTAAGTATTCTTTGTAAGTCTTTTATCATTGGTCCAGCACAATTTTTTCAATACCACCAACTTGGATAATTGAGTTATAAAGACACTTTGTTAAGTATATTCAGCAAGTGTTTTAGCATCAGCTCAACTTAATTTTAACAATACTACCAACTTAAATAATTACATTGAAAATAAATCTTTTTGAGTATATTCAACAAGTGATTTTCAGTCAGGAATATGTAATCTTTATTCAAATACCATCTTTCAAAGATTAGATTCACAAAATTGTTCACAATTGTTAATTTCAGGCAGTAGTCTCTCACTCCACATATATATGAGAGTGGGCCAGCACAGTCACTGGTAAACATGTCCACCTTAAAGTATCTGTTCAAAATTGAAGGGTGACACAGGGAGTATAGGACTGCTTTGGCTTGGCCCTCTCGATCATGGTTGATAAAAATAAATACAATTACTTATTTGGTCAAATTAGTTTATTCAGAATGTTGCTCAAGTATTTTGCTTTAGGACTTGCTTCATATTCAGTTTTAAAATTAATGCTCAAATGTAGAATTTTTAAGAAGTTTATATTTTTCACTGCAATGCATTCTGGGTAGCGTCACTGCTTCGCCACATTTTGTTTTCAATCAACACAATATATTTATTTTGAATCAACTCAATATATTTATTTTGAATCAACTCAATATATTTGTTTTTTCATTAATGGGCCACCAGGCTTACAAGAGGATTTTCATGTTGAGCAAACTCAATACTTCTCCGTTGTCCAGTTATGCCAGATTATCACATTCAAATTTGTTACAAAAATGAGTTAGGATTCTTGTATTAACTTTTAATTGAGACCGACATGTTTAAAATGAGTTGCAACCACACTAATTTAAGTAAAACTGGCAAAAATCAATTATTGAGTTTAGTTTAGTATGTATTTTGAGTTCAAAATACTAACCACCTGAATCATTTCTTTGAGTGCACTCAGCCACCGTGCCGGAGTGGAGGTGGAGGGTTTCTTGGTGCTGAGTTAGGAGGGAGGTGGGCTAAATGAGCAGGAGGGGGGGGTGGAATACTTATGGGGTTAGAGGAGGGACGGGTGGATTTTGTGGGAGAATTTGAGTTGGACGCCCTAGGTGGCTTTGGAGGTACGTATGGGGAGTAGTTTTGAATATTAGATAGGACTCTTGATCTGGCTACAGTGGGTGTGAGAGGAATAGTCTTCATCGCCGATCTTATCATGCCTGCCGAGTGTTCCGGTAAATCCAGTAGTGAAGGCGGGGATAGAAAACAAAGGGAAAGGTCGTCCTCATTTTCCCTAGATGGAGTGGATGTAGCGGGGGGGACCCAAGCCGGGTCCATGGAAGGTGATGAGGGAGTCTTTGGTGGAGACAGAGGTGGTTGAGGAACCCCCAGTACAGGCCTGACTGTAGCCTGGAGCAGTGGGGGAAGCTTCACGGGAGCTGTAGGTGGGGAAGGTGCTGCTGAAGATGATGGAGCAGCCACTGCTGCTGCTGAAGATGATGGAGCAGCCACTGCTGCTGCTGAAGATGATGGAGCAGCCACTGCTGCTGCTGAAGATGATGGAGCAGCCACTGCTGCTGCTGAAGATGATGGAGCAGCCACTGCTGCTGCTGAAGATGATGGAGCAGCCACTGCTGCTGCTGTATCCACTGCTGCTGGTGGTGCTGTATATGCTGATGGCGCTGATGAAGATGTGGCAGCTGCTGATGATGCTGGTGGTGGAGGCGTTGAGCTCTTTCGGAGCCGTGGAGGTGTTGAGTTCTTCTTGAATCGTGAAGGTGTGGAGTTCTTTTGAGGCGGTGGGGGTGCAGAGACCTCGGGAGTCGGTGGAGATGGTCGTGATGTCTGTGCCCTTTGCTTCTTCTTTCTCCCTTTTGACGGCTGCACGCGCTGCGCAGGCTGAGGTCTTAGGGCAGATGCAAAGTTATCCATCAACACTTTTACTCCGTAGTTGTTCAGATGTGGACCTTTTTCTTCAAAAAGCTCGTGTCTATTCCAGAACAGATTAAAGCGCAAAGAGAAGCCTTGAGCGACGCATATCAATGTTGACTTAATCTCTGTAATATCTAGAGTAGATCTTTGTTTACTCTGGTCTATTTAATGTCCGTCATTTCCTCATTCGTGGCAGTTGGTTTCAGACGGCTGCCCGGTGGTATCGGTTCTGTTATTCATTGTATATGTCACATTTACTAATGAATAAACCCACACTTTGATGGTTTTACAGCTCTTGGTTGTTTACATTATTTTTGCTCTCGGTCTGTTCAGAATTTCCACAACAAAGGCTTTGGATTCACACACACGCATTCACACACATGCATTCACACACACACATTCACACACATGCATTCACACACATGAATTCACAAAGGGTAAAAATATGCTTTTTATACCAAACCAATTTCTGAGACATGTTTTATTTGTGTAAAAACAGAAAGATAGCGTTAGCATTTGTATGTTGGCTTCTTTTTACACTTACCACAATGGCCTAAACCTCTTTTCCATTGAAAGTTGTAAAAGTTGTTCTTCTCTTTTTTATTTTTTTTTATTCTGACATATTATATAAAAAAGTTATGCAACTATAGCCGTAGTCATCATTTAATGTTCCAATTCAAAATCAAACTGTTGTGTAAGATTCTTGGGAGCTGTGAGGACCTCCATATGTGGACATGTCTGCACCGGTGCAGAGCAGCTGCAGACGCCGAGCGAGGGATGACCTAATGCTGGTGGTTCTCCATGATCGGAGGAGGAGCACAAAGGGCCCGGGCCAAGACGTTCCTCCCCCCTCCTCCCCCCTCCTCTCCCCCAGAGCCCGGGCAGGTGCTGAGGCCTTTGGCAGTGGACTCTTGGATCGCACTGTTCCAGTACATCTGCATCTGCTGCACACAAGCTGCTGCGTGCTGTTTGAAGCATGTCGGACTCACAAAGGCTTGGTCTGAGGCACTTGAGCTGATCTAGAAAATAAGACTTTCTTCAGTATTCATTTTAGATCAAGATTCAATCTGGAAATACTCAAGACAAAGATTGCATTAGAAGTATAATAATTGGGGTGTATGCATGAAAATATTGTAGCTGCATGATTAGACAATTGGACCCGGCAGAGGCAGGATGAGGAACTAATACTGTTAATGCATTTGAGGATGAAATGTTGGAAGATTAGACCCTGGCAAAAATATTGCATGACATCCAGTATGAAGGAGGGCATGTAATAGAGATTATGAGCTTGCAAAGTGATGTACCTCAGCTGAGGTGATAACAGGATGATCGTCCACAGAGACAGCGGCGAGGAGGAGTAGGGTTTCTGCACGAACAGCAGCTTGATGCTCCAGGACTGGGAGCTCTGTTTGAATACAGCTACAGGTGTGTGACTGCATGTAGAGGGAGGGCTCTGTGTCTCCCAGTCTGCAGCTTCAGTCATGTTTATTATATACACACTTAAAGCTGAGGTACATCACTTTTTGTTTTATAAATAATTCACAGTGTTTGTCTCCACAGAAAGAGAGATGAGAACAATACATGCTCTTCTTCTTATTGGAAAACATGTTTTCTGTTGCACACCTGGAGAGCCCTGTGAGGAACTATTGGACACAAGACAATGATTCTGATTCTGATTCTGATTCTGAAGATGGAACCGGTTTTAAAGTCAGGACTATTGATTTGTTTTACATACAGTGTATTTGCACGTGTTGACATATATTTTCTAGTTTTTTGTGGCTTGAGATTCAGGAACACTGGTTTTACTGCAAGGAATCTGCAACCTCTACATCCCTGATGGAGCATTCCTCTCTGTTCCACAACTTTCTCAAAGATTTGATTACACTGAAACAATGATATATGAAAAAGTGACATATGTTTTCACCATTTAAACTATAACAGTCTTCCCGTAATGCATATTGTATTAGTATATTGTAAGGACACAGACTTCCAGTAATGATGGTGTATTTGAACCCTGAGGTCAGTGTTTACAGTGACGCTCTGTGTCAACACAACAGACTGAAGTCATTTATTTAATGCATAATGCTGAACAAACACCAAGGGCTTTCAAAGGGTCTGAGATCAACTTCTAAACTTGAATCCTACATGATTCTGTTCTTGAGGCCTGTCTTCTCTTTCACTGAGGTAAAAGTGGATACAAGAAAACAAATGTGTTTTACCTTTTTAAGATATTCTATTTATTTTAATACATGTTTATTAAGCTGAATAACTTACAATATCGTAATAGCAGTTCTCCACAAACCTTGTAGCTCTATTTGCATGATTTGCATATTTAAAAATGTAAGGAACAGATGAAATAATTCTGAAGACTGTAATTTTTTTCAAACATGTCCAGATTTGGTCCTGTTCAAACTTAGTCTACATGAGTTTCAGTTTTATTCTGTAGTTGCACATTTTGTTGGGTTAGTTTGTGTCGGCGCAGCATTATTCATTCATCATCTCTCAGCCCAAAGCACCAAAAAGAAACTCACAGTCACAGTGCACATTTGCAAGACTCTCTTTCTGTTGGAACAAAAATGTGTTTTTTATTGATTTAAATAAAGTTAGGATCCTCAGGTTTAACTTATAGAACTGGGAACATATTCACCCCAGGACACTGCACTGGTGATAATTGCGTGAATCTAGTTTTTATCCCCAATCGAGCACATTCTGACTGTCCTAGAACAATATTTTCCAACGGAACAAAGCCATTTAGTCTTATTTCAAGAACTTTATTTTCTCATTCCAAGGGAGACATTTCTTGCATATTTTTACAACAAGATTTGCCAATGGGACACGCAAAAATATCTTGTTTGAAAGTCAGTCAGAATCTGGTCAATCAAAGATACATTATGACCAAATTTGAGCAATTTTTGACCCTTCTTTCATCACTTTTTGCAGTGTACCAGCAGAAAAACACACTCTATCGAGGACGGAACAATTTATCCACGAATGGAGAACGAGCCATGACAAACGAGGCCTGTCATGTGAGGATGTGTGGAGGATCTGAGCAGTTGTGTTGAGGCTCAGAGCGTGGAGCCACAGGTGTTAAACAGCTAAAGCGCTTTATCCACTCCAGAGGGAGAGACAGGTCTGACCCAGGGAAGCTCTGCAGCAGCGCCACTCAGAGCCCCGGGGTCGGAGGTCAACCGGCAGCAGCCATAGAAGCCATTTGTTTTTGGTTGTCAGGGCTCACCTGTTGAGCCCTGGGTGAAGGGGAGTGGGCTTTTCTAAACATCTCACCCGTAAGAAGAAAAATAGCACCCGAGGCGGCGGAGGAGGGAGAATTCCAATGAGTAAGAGCATTCAGGAGCTAAAGCCTGCAGGTGGTGGTTTGTCACGCACACACGTCTTGATAAAGTAGTGTCAAAGTGAAGTAAGATTTTCATGTCAAGTCATCATTAAAGGGCCCTAATCTGTCATCATTAAAGGGCCCTAATCCGTCATCATTAAAGGGCCTTTAATCTGTCATCAGTAAAGGGCCCTAATCCGTCATCATTAAAGGGCCCTAATCTGTCATCAGTAAAGGGCCCTAATCCGTCATCATTAAAGGGCCTTTAATCTGTCATCAGTAAAGGGCCCTAATCGTCATCATTAAAGGGCCCTAATCTGTCATCATTAAAGGGCCCTAATCTGTCATCATTAAAGGGCCCTAATCTGTCATAATAATAAACTGCTCTTTTCCGATACTTCTTTAACTGATAACAGTCGTTCAGAGATATTTTAATTTCTAAATTACTTTTCCAGCCTCTAAATCTTGTTATTGTTTTCATTTCGATGTCCCGCCCTCCACCGTTTAACCAATCAGAAAGTCTGTGATCCGGGCGCCAGAACTCACGGTGTGGAGCTAATCTCACTGGTAAAGTACCACGTGGAGCTAATCTCACTGGTAAAGTACCATGTGGCGCAGAACTAAAAAAGGTCTCGTTATGATTCTCAAATCATTAACGACAAAACAAGGAATAAAACCAGGATTTCTATCTTTGTGAAAAAGGTGTTGGTTATAGATTTGTTGTTGACAAAACTCTTGTCTATTCAGCTGTTATGGTCCCAGCTGGATTCGTCTGCATATCTGGCAACCTGAGTCAGGGAGAGTGGGAGAGGCTGCAGTACCACTTTTGGCCACATTTTTACACACTGCTCCTTTAACAGAGCACAGTTTATACAGCGTCTGCTGTATTCAAAATGCTCCAAGTTTCTACGTCTGTGTCTGTGTCTGAGTCTGAGTCTGAGTCTGTGTCTGAGTCTGTGTCTGAGTCTGTGTCTGTGTCTGAGTCTGAGTCTGTGTCTGTGTCTGTGTCTGTGTCTGTGTCTGAGTCTGAGTCTGAGTCTGAGTCTGAGTCTGAGTCTGTGTCTGAGTCTGAGTCTGTGTCTGAGTCTGTGTCTGTGTCTGAGTCTGAGTCTGTGTCTGTGACTGTGTCTGTGTCTGTGTCTGAGTCTGAGTCTGAGTCTGAGTCTGAGTCTGAGTCTGAGTCTGAGTCTGTGTCTGAGTCTGTGTCTGTGTCTGAGTCTGTGTCTGAGTCTGAGTCTGTGTCTGAGTCTGTGTCTGAGTCTGTGTCTGAGTCTGAGTCTGAGTCTGAGTCTGAGTCTGTGTCTGTGTCTGAGTCTGTGTCTGTGTCTGAGTCTGTGTCTGTGTCTGAGTCTGTGTCTGTGTCTGTGTCTGAGTCTGTGTCTGAGTCTGTGTCTGAGTCTGAGTCTGTGTCTGAGTCTGGGTCTGGGTCTGGGTCTGGGTCTGGGTCTGGGTCTGGGTCTGAGTCTGAGTCTGTGACTGTGTCTGGGTCTGGGTCTGAGTCTGAGTCTGAGTCTGTGTCTGAGTCTGTGTCTGAGTCTGAGTCTGAGTCTGAGTCTGAGTCTGGGTCTGGGTCTGGGTCTGAGTCTGAGTCTGAGTCTGTGTCTGTGTCTGAGTCTGAGTCTGTGTCTGTGTCTGAGTCTGTGTCTGTGTCTGAGTCTGTGTCTGAGTCTGTGTCTGTGTCTGTGTCTGTGTCTGAGTCTGTGTCTGTGTCTGAGTCTGAGTCTGAGTCTGTGTCTGTGTCTGAGTCTGTGTCTGAGTCTGTGTCTGTGTCTGAGTCTGAGTCTGAGTCTGAGTCTGTGTCTGTGTCTGTGTCTGAGTCTGTGTCTGAGTCTGAGTCTGAGTCTGAGTCTGAGTCTGAGTCTGAGTCTGTGTCTGTGTCTGAGTCTGAGTCTGTGTCTGTGTCTGAGTCTGTGTCTGAGTCTGAGTCTGTGTCTGTGTCTGTGTCTGTGTCTGAGTCTGAGTCTGAGTCTGAGTCTGAGTCTGAGTCTGTGTCTGTGTCTGTGTCTGAGTCTGTGTCTGAGTCTGAGTCTGAGTCTGTGTCTGTGTCTGTGTCTGAGTCTGTGTCTGAGTCTGGGTCTGAGTCTGAGTCTGAGTCTGTGTCTGTGTCTGAGTCTGAGTCTGAGTCTGTGTCTGAGTCTGTGTCTGTGTCTGTGTCTGAGTCTGAGTCTGAGTCTGAGTCTGTGTCTGAGTCTGTGTCTGTGTCTGTGTCTGAGTCTGTGTCTGAGTCTGAGTCTGAGTCTGTGTCTGTGTCTGTGTCTGAGTCTGAGTCTGAGTCTGAGTCTGTGTCTGTGTCTGAGTCTGAGTCTGTGTCTGTGTCTGGGTCTGTGTCTGAGTCTGTGTCTGTGTCTGAGTCTGTGTCTGAGTCTGTGTCTGAGTCTGAGTCTGAGTCTGGGTCTGGGTCTGGGTCTGGGTCTGAGTCTGTGTCTGGGTCTGGGTCTGGGTCTGGGTCTGAGTCTGAGTCTGTGTCTGTGTCTGTGTCTGAGTCTGTGTCTGTGTCTGTGTCTGAGTCTGAGTCTGAGTCTGAGTCTGAGTCTGAGTCTGTGTCTGTGTCTGTGTCTGAGTCTGTGTCTGAGTCTGAGTCTGAGTCTGTGTCTGTGTCTGTGTCTGAGTCTGAGTCTGAGTCTGAGTCTGGGTCTGGGTCTGAGTCTGAGTCTGTGTCTGTGTCTGGGTCTGGGTCTGAGTCTGTGTCTGTGTCTGAGTCTGTGTCTGAGTCTGTGTCTGAGTCTGAGTCTGTGTCTGGGTCTGGGTCTGGGTCTGTGTCTGAGTCTGAGTCTGGGTCTGAGTCTGAGTCTGTGTCTGGGTCTGGGTCTGTGTCTGAGTCTGAGTCTGGGTCTGAGTCTGAGTCTGTGTCTGGGTCTGGGTCTGTGTCTGAGTCTGTGTCTGAGTCTGTGTCTGAGTCTGGGTCTGGGTCTGGGTCTGAGTCTGAGTCTGTGTCTGTGTCTGAGTCTGTGTCTGAGTCTGGGTCTGGGTCTGTGTCTGTGTCTGAGTCTGTGTCTGGGTCTGAGTCTGTGTCTGAGTCTGAGTCTGTGTCTGAGTCTGAGTCTGAGTCTGAGTCTGAGTCTGTGTCTGAGTCTGAGTCTGAGTCTGTGTCTGAGTCTGAGTCTGAGTCTGAGTCTGAGTCTGAGTCTGGGTCTGGGTCTGAGTCTGAGTCTGAGTCTGGGTCTGAGTCTGGGTCTGAGTCTGTGTCTGAGTCTGTGTCTGAGTCTGAGTCTGAGTCTGAGTCTGTGTCTGTGTCTGGGTCTGGGTCTGAGTCTGAGTCTGGGTCTGTGTCTGTGTCTGAGTCTGAGTCTGTGTCTGTGTCTGAGTCTGAGTCTGTGTCTGAGTCTGGGTCTGAGTCTGTGTCTGAGTCTGGGTCTGAGTCTGAGTCTGAGTCTGTGTCTGAGTCTGGGTCTGAGTCTGAGTCTGAGTCTGTGTCTGAGTCTGGGTCTGAGTCTGAGTCTGGGTCTGAGTCTGTGTCTGAGTCTGTGTCTGAGTCTGAGTCTGTGTCTGTGTCTGAGTCTGTGTCTGTGTCTGAGTCTGAGTCTGGGTCTGAGTCTGTGTCTGAGTCTGTGTCTGAGTCTGTGTCTGTGTCTGTGTCTGAGTCTGTGTCTGAGTCTGTGTCTGAGTCTGGGTCTGAGTCTGAGTCTGGGTCTGAGTCTGAGTCTGTGTCTGAGTCTGGGTCTGGGTCTGAGTCTGTGTCTGAGTCTGGGTCTGGGTCTGGGTCTGAGTCTGAGTCTGGGTCTGAGTCTGAGTCTGAGTCTGGGTCTGGGTCTGAGTCTGTGTCTGAGTCTGTGTCTGAGTCTGAGTCTGGGTCTGTGTCTGTGTCTGAGTCTGAGTCTGTGTCTGTGTCTGAGTCTGTGTCTGGGTCTGGGTCTGAGTCTGTGTCTGAGTCTGGGTCTGAGTCTGAGTCTGAGTCTGTGTCTGGGTCTGGGTCTGAGTCTGAGTCTGAGTCTGTGTCTGAGTCTGGGTCTGAGTCTGTCTGGGTCTGAGTCTGTGTCTGAGTCTGAGTCTGTGTCTGAGTCTGAGTCTGTGTCTGGGTCTGGGTCTGGGTCTGGGTCTGAGTCTGAGTCTGGGTCTGAGTCTGGGTCTGAGTCTGTGTCTGAGTCTGTGTCTGTGTCTGAGTCTGTGTCTGAGTCTGTGTCTGAGTCTGTGTCTGAGTCTGAGTCTGAGTCTGAGTCTGAGTCTGAGTCTGAGTCTGTGTCTGTGTCTGAGTCTGTGTCTGTGTCTGTGTCTGAGTCTGTGTCTGAGTCTGAGTCTGAGTCTGAGTCTGAGTCTGAGTCTGAGTCTGAGTCTGGGTCTGAGTCTGTGTCTGAGTCTGTGTCTGAGTCTGTGTCTGTGTCTGTGTCTGAGTCTGTGTCTGAGTCTGAGTCTGTGTCTGTGTCTGAGTCTGTGTCTGAGTCTGAGTCTGTGTCTGAGTCTGTGTCTGAGTCTGTGTCTGAGTCTGTGTCTGTGTCTGAGTCTGAGTCTGAGTCTGAGTCTGTGTCTGTGTCTGAGTCTGTGTCTGTGTCTGAGTCTGTGTCTGAGTCTGTGTCTGTGTCTGTGTCTGAGTCTGTGTCTGAGTCTGAGTCTGTGTCTGTGTCTGAGTCTGTGTCTGAGTCTGAGTCTGAGTCTGAGTCTGAGTCTGAGTCTGAGTCTGAGTCTGGGTCTGAGTCTGTGTCTGAGTCTGTGTCTGAGTCTGTGTCTGAGTCTGAGTCTGTGTCTGTGTCTGTGTCTGTCTGTGTCTGTGTCTGTGTCTGAGTCTGAGTCTGAGTCTGAGTCTGAGTCTGAGTCTGGGTCTGAGTCTGAGTCTGTGTCTGTGTCTGGGTCTGGGTCTGAGTCTGGGTCTGGGTCTGAGTCTGGGTCTGGGTCTGAGTCTGGGTCTGGGTCTGGGTCTGAGTCTGTGTCTGTGTCTGAGTCTGAGTCTGAGTCTGTGTCTGTGTCTGAGTCTGAGTCTGTGTCTGAGTCTGAGTCTGAGTCTGGGTCTGGGTCTGGGTCTGAGTCTGTGTCTGGGTCTGGGTCTGAGTCTGAGTCTGAGTCTGTGTCTGAGTCTGGGTCT